GAGGCTGTGCTTAGCCCCAGCTCAGGCTTTCCTGGAGTTTCAGGCAGGGTGATGAGACTTCAGTTGTGAGTGGGAGCTTCAGGACCCCCCGACCTCAACAGCAGAAGCAGAGTCCCCCGCTTCACCCATACCTGCAGGCCCGGTCCGCCCTTGCCGACTGCACGTTCTGCTCTCCCACGGCATCCAAGCCTGACCTGCCTCCGGCCACCTCCCGGGCTGGGCAGGTGGCGATGATGAGGGCCTGAGAGGCTCACAGCTGGGGATTTCCCTGCCCCGTCAGGCGCCAGCTCCGGCCACATCAGCAGGGACTTCCTGCTGGGGCCCAGCTGGGTCTTGCCCGCATCTTGCCCTGGGGAGCAGGTGTGCGGTTCCTGAGTGACGAGAGGCAGACAGGGCCATCCTGACCTCACTCCACCCACTTCGCAGCTGTAGCCTGGGCCAGGAGAGAGGGCACAGCATCCTCCTGCCATGCTCTGGCCTTGGAGACAGGCTGCCCCGGCAGTGGCTGGGAGGACACATTAAGACGACAAAAATGACCATAGCTAAGAGCAGACATGGGTCACTGAGCTCTTGCTACGCACTGGACCTGTTCTGGCTCACCCTTCCTTCCTTCCTTCCCTCCTTCCTTCCTTCTTCCTTCCTTCCCTCCCTCCCTCCCTCCCTCCCTCCTTCCTTCCTTCCTTTCTTTTTTTTTTTTTTTTGAGAGGGGGTGTTTCTCATATGATCCAGGAGGCGGGGGTAATGGCGCGGTCTCGGCGCACCGCAACCTCCGCCTCCTGGGTTCAGGCAATTCTCCTGCCTCAGCCTCCTGAGTAGCTGGGATTACAGGCACGCACCACCATGTCCAGCTAATTTTTTGTATTTTTAGTAGAGACGGGGTTTCACCATGTTGACCAGGATGGTCTCGATCTCTTGACCTCATGATCCACCCGCCTCGGCCTCCCAAAGTGCTGGGATTACAGGCTTGAGCCACCGCGCCCGGCCCTCTTTTTTCTTTTAAATGGAGTCTCACTCTGTCACTCATGCTGGAGTGCAGTGGTTCAGTCTTCGCTCACAGCAACCTCTGCCTCCCAGATTCAAGTGATTCTCCTGCCTCAGCCTCCCATAGCTGGGATTATAGGCACCCACCACCCTGCCCGGCTCATTTTTGAATTTTTAGTAGAGACAGGGTTTCACCATTGGTCAGGCTGGTCTCGAACTCCTGACCTTGTGATCCACCCACCCCGGCCTCCCAAGGTGCTGGGATTGCAGCTGTGAGCCACCATGCCTGGCCTGCTCTGGCCCTTTCTACCTGCACTTGTTGAAGCCCCATGGCAACCTTGCAAAGTGGGTTTATGAAGCACATTTCACAGATGAGGAGATTGAGGCTCAGAGAAATGACTTGTGAAGATCAGACAGCCAGGAAGGGATGAGGTGGACACTGAGGCCTGTGAGGCGTGGCTGCTGGTGGAAAGCGTTAAATGGGGACTTCTGTCCCCGAGAGGCCTCATCCCAGGAACTGACTTTTGTTTTTTGAGAGGGAGTCCCACTCTGTCTCCCTGGCTGGAGTGCAGTGGCATGATCTCAGATCACTGCAACCTCTGCTTCCCGGGTCCAAGTGATTCTCCTGCCTTAGCCTCCCGAGTAGCTGGGATTACAGGCGCCCGCCACAACGCCAGCTAATTTTTGTAAATTTAGTAGAGACGGGGTTTCATCATGTTGGTCAGGCTGGTCTCAAACTTGCGACTTCGTGATCAGCCCGCCTCAGCCTCCCAAAGTGCTGGGATTAAAGGCGTGAGCCACTGTGCCTGGTCATACCGGAACGGACAAGGGCGGAGTCCTGGGGCTAGGCGCCCTGAAGTCAGCCAGGTAGTCTCTCTCAGGGGACAGCGCAGAGCGCTGACCCTCCACTAAGCCCTCCCACCCCTGTGATCTCTTCCCCTCTTCATGGCATCCTCGGAAAGCAGGTATTATGATTCCCATTTCCTAGGTGGGAAAACTGAGGCCTGTGATGGGATGTACCCGACCGGCATCAAATGCCAGAGCAGGACGAGTTGGACCCAGAGCTTTGACCTTGGCACCTGGTGCCTCCCGTGCCTTTTCGCCGGTGGGGGTGAGGCTGCTGTGTGGGTGTGGGGGTGACTCACACAGGCCACGTGGGCGGGAGGGCGCTGCAGCTGCGGCTGGTGGGCGTGGCCCGCCTGGTGCCTAGGGCAGGTGGCCCAGCCAGTTCTGCCTCTGACGCCTCATTCCAGCCATCCCTCTGCCTGCCATGACAGCTTCCCAGCGCCCCAGACACAGTCCCACCCGGGGGCCTTGGGCCCCGGACATGCGGTGATCTCAGAGCAAGTGTTGCCACGACCACCCAGAACCTCACCAGGTGAGTCCTCCCTGCACGAGGCAGCTGCTGATCTCCAAGACCCCTGGGGAGCCCAGAGTGCGGCCCCCAGAGGTCCTCTGGGCTGTGTCTGCCCTTTGCCAATAGGCCTTGGGAGGAGGGTTGGAAGGAGCTCGGGCCCCAGCAAGAAAAGCAAAGCCGTGGGCTCTCGGCTGTAGGGGTGTGTGAGGATACAGGTCCCTACGGACTCCGGCGTGTTTCTCTGAGGTTTGGGAATCCTGGGGAGGGAGGGAGAACATCTCAGTATCACCCCCGTTGAGGGGCAGTGGTGAGGCTCCTGGCTCCCCAGGCCAGCCCAGGGATGTGGCTTTCTGCGGCAGGAGAGTGATGGGAGTTCAGGATGGGAGGAGGTGGCCCACAGTGGGAGAGGGACCGGCCAGCATCTCACAGGGGCTGAGTCAGCAGCTGTGGCTCCGAGGCCTACTCTGTCGCCCAGGAAAGGCCATTTCAGTGTCAGGGACTGGGAGAGAGAGGGAGGGTCAGGGCATGAGAGAGTCCAGCAGGTGAGAACGCAGGGATTGCGGGGTGACTCAGGGAGCTAATGGCAGCTGCCGTGGCCCTGGTCCGGGGTTCCCTGAGCCTCTCCTGCTGCAGCTGCCCGGGGCCATGCACATTCGTGGGCCCAGGGAAGGGAGAGAGCAACCAGCTGGCAGGGCCATGGAGTCCTTGGGGACCTTTTGGCCCACTTCTTAGAAACGAAACCCGAGGTCCAAAGAGGGGCAAGAGACACGTCCGTCCTCTGCCTCCTTGCTTAGTGCGTCCTAGGCTTTCGGTCCTCCACAGGCCACGTGGGGCTGGGGAAGCTGCAGAGGCTGCCCCATCCTCACCGGGCCAGGACTGGACATGGCAGGGCTGGTGCCCAGCTTTCCCTCCCCGAGGACTGCTCCCCTGCCTGGTCTCAGGGTGCCCACTCTTCAGGGCCCAAGCTCCCCTCGCCACTGCCGCCCCCGTCCTGGGCCTGCTCCCTTTGAGTTGGAGGGCGGGGGACTCTCTCCAGCCTGCTGACACCTGGCTCGGCTCCAGACACTTCCTCCAGGAAGCCTTCCTATTGGGGTAGGTTGTCCAGTGGCCCCAGTTCTACCCCACCCAGCTGGCTTCTTCTTATAGGAATACATCTTTCTGCCCCTACCTGTGTGTCTCCAGGTGAGTTCCCTGAGGGTGACCCAAGCTGAGAATGGCACCCCCTGACTGCAGAGTTACCACCTGTTCACACAACCCTTTCCCCGCCCATGTCATCCCCCTGTGGCTAGCTGCCCCCTTCCCCGTCCCTATGGCCACCTCAGCAGCCTCCTCCTGGCCCCTGGCTTCTGGTCTGCACCCTCCAGCGTAGCCTGCTCTCTCCTGTGTAACCCAGAGCCCCTGAGCCCCTGCACCCAACTCCTAGCAGCCCCCGGGGATCAGCCACAGCTCTTTTTTAATGTTTAATAAAATTTTATTTATTTTTATTTATTTTTTTGAGTCGGAGTCTTGCTCTGTGGCCCAGGCTGGAGTACAGCGGCACAATCTCCGCTCACTGCAGCCTCCACCTCCTGGGTTCAAGCAAGTCTCCTGCCTCAGCCTCCTGAGTAGCTGGGACTATAGGCGTGCACCATGCCTGGCTAATTTTTTGTATTTTAGATGGGGTTTTGCTATGTCGCCCAGGCTCGTCTTGAACTCCTGAGCTCAGGCGACCTGCCCGCCTCAGCCTCTCAAAGTGCCAGGATTACAGGCGTGAGCCACTGCGTCTGGCTAAAGCCACAGCTTTTATGTGGCGTTTGAAGACTTCACGAGGCCCAACCCGCCTGCACGCCTTTCGCTGGCGGGGTCCCCGTGAGCTCCCAGGTTCTCCAGCCGCCGCAGCTCCTGCCGCGCCTGCCACTCCTGACCCCCCACCCAGGCTGTGCCCTCTGCCCGCCTGCCCCTTGTCCACACAGCAGCCTGTAAGATCTCTCCAGGTCTTGTTGGAAGATGTATCGGTCCCTCTTCCCCAGTCTGCACACCCCTCCAAGCTCAGCCCATACTGAACATCAGTAAAGCAGGTCTGGACTGAGGGGTCGGCCTCCTCCGCCTGGGGCCGGGGGACTCAGCTGCTCCCTGCCGGTGAGAGGCGAGTCTCATGGACAGCCAGCCATCAGCCGGTTCCATGCAGCTTTGGGTGGGTGGGGGAGATGATCACTGTGTTGGCTGCAGAGACCACCTGGGCACTGGGGAATCCAAAACACCCGAGGAGCTTGAAGCTGTGTTATTAGGAGCATAACATCTAGAGCAAAGGAGGTGATAATCTTGCTCTATGAAGGTCAAACCTCTTTGAGAGCTGCTCTGAACACAAATTCTGAGAGGGACCTCAAGAAAGCAGGGCCAGTGCTCAGGAGTCCGCCTGGGGACTGGTTGGCTGGAGGTGGTGTCTTGAGAGAGGCTGGGGGCCTGGGGGTCTCCACGGGATCACCATGGTGGTCCGTAGCATCAGGGGTGCTGGAGCAGGGAGCTGGGGAAGCGTTGGGGACAGCTTCTCTGTCCTTGAAGAAAGGTTGGTGGCCTGGGAAGGGAGAAGTGAGCTTCCTGTCCTAGGGAGTGTGGCTGGGAGCTGGATGCTGCCACATGCAGGTCCTAAGCCCTGGAAGCTCCCCCCGTCCCCTCGGCCTGAGCATCTGCCCTGTGGTTGTGTTCCAGCCATGAATGCCTACTCCAAGGAGATGGTGCCTCTCATGGGCAGGAGAGTTGCTGCCCCCGGTGGGAACCCTGCCGTCCTGACAGAGAAGAGGCCGGCGGAGACCACCCCCACAAAGAAGAGGTGGGTCTGGAAGGCCCTGGGCTGGGATCCTGTGAGGGGCACCAGCAGGGTCCTGGCACCCCAGGGAGCCCTTGCCTTGGGGAGACCCGAGACACTCAGCTTGCCTGGGGTGGCTTGGCGTCCGGCGAGGTATGGCTGAGGGTGGCACGGGAAGAGCACAGGGCACTCTGGTGGTCAGATGGACTGGCATGGTCAGGGAAGCCTCCGTGGAGGGATCGGGGTTGCTGAGGCAGGCGCCGTCCGGGGGGCTCCCGAGGGAGGTGAGGGATGGCTGGAGCTGTCCTTGTGACGCAGGAGCAAAACGCCGGGTAGAAGTTCCGGGTGACCTGACCTCTGCCAGGCGCGGTCTCCACACACCGAGGCGTTCCATCCACTGTGCAGCAGTCAGGTTATTCGAGCTGTTCGCCCCCACGTTTGGAAGGGGGACACCAGCAACGGCTCCAACGACAGGGTGACCGTTGGTTGGGATCAAGTCAGCACAGCGCGCAGTGCAGCCCTGGCACGCGTCTGCGCTGGGCACGTGTCGGCACTGAGTGTTTTTGTTACTGTCACCATCCTCACTGTTGCCCTCACTCCACGGGGCCTCTGGGAACGGGGCAGGGCTGGGATGATCAGCTTTTCTTCTTGGCTGGGGACACGGAGGAGGCCTGGAGCAGAGAAAGGACCTCTCTGGGGTCACCCGTCCCACCCCTCCGTGGCCTGCAGCATAGATTCTGCACCCCCAGCTGATTTGGTGCTTCTCCAGCTGTCTGCCAACCAATTCACCTGTGTGTCCCCTGAACCTGGGGTGGCCCTGCCCCCTCTGCTGTATCCCGGGCCCGCTTTGGGCCAGGAGTGAGCTCGGTGCTTCCCCTGTTAGTTGGAGTTATAATCACTGAGATGTCCTGTGTACCAGCCCTGGGGTTGGGCTCAGGATTAGGAGTTTAGACATGGAGAGAAAATGCCCATGGATGCTCACAGTCTGGCAGAACGGGAGTCGAGGAGACGGTGGGAAGCACCCAGAGAGAGGTGAACCAGCCAGTGGGGCCTGAAGAGCAGCAGGTTACTCTGATCCTGTAGGCAGTCTCAGGGGACTTCCTGGAGGAGGTGGTGCTAGAGAGGATGTGGAGCAGAAGGGAAAGTGCATCTGGGGGCAGAGGGATGGGGAGCAGTGCTCAGGGCAGGGCCACTGAGGTGGGGAGTGTGGTGTGGCTGGAATGCTGGGCAGTGGAGTCCTCTCTGGGGAGATGAGTGCCATTGGAGCTGGGTCTTGGGGGTCAGTCAAGGAACCTGGACGATCCTGAGGGCAGTGGGAGCCGTGGAAGGCTTTTTTGTGGGAGGGAGGGCATGGCAAGATTTGTATTTTGGAGAGGTGACCCTGGGGGATCTGCGTGAGTGACAGATTGGAGGAGAGGCTGACAGCAGGGAGACCATGAGGAGGCCTTGAAGCCCAGGTGATAGGTGGTGACGGCTGAGCCTGGGTGTTCAGGGGTAAAACGGAGGGGCAGCACAGAGAGGTGTCAGCATCACAGGGTCTGCGGGGTCCGCCACGGGAGGTAATTGAGGTAATCGAGGTAATCGAGAAGGAGGAATCCCAGCAAGAGGGCCCGGAGGGAAGGCGGGCCGTCTCTGACATGGGCAGCAAAGGAGACCCGGCCAGGAGGAGCGAGCCAGGCTCAGCTGTGAAATGCTGGGGAAGAGGTGCCCGAGGGGCAGCCAGGTGGAGTCTCCGTCTTGGAATGCAAGAGGGAAGACTGCATGGAAGTGGAGACCAGACAGGTGTCGCGTGGGGCCATGGGGGCAGCCTGGTCTGGGTGGGCTTGTCCAGGAAAGGGCAGAGACATCCCTGAGCTAGGCTGGCAAGGACCAGCTCCCTGCTCTCTCACCCTTCCCCCTCCCCCTCCCTCTTCCAGGGGAGGTTTGGACCTCGGGAAGAGGTGGAGGACAGAGTTCCGGGAAAACTCCGGGTTCCTTCCTCAGCAGGACCCGTCAGGCCGCCTTGTCTGAGCCTATCCCCCGCTTCACAGACTCAGCTCCGGGCTCGGCTCTGCAAAGCCTCAGCCCCGCCAGGGCCGAGTGTATTGTGACCTTTGCCGCCCGAATTGGTGTCCACTCCTCCGCCCAAAGGCTCTCAGAGGGCCCTCATGTGAAGGTTTGGACATTCCCCTCAGAACTGAGTAGAGGGCTTGGTCCTAGAGAGAAACAGAAAAGAAAAGAATAAATTAAAGGCCGGCGCGGTGGCTCACGCCTGTAATCCTAGCACTTTGGGAGGCCGAGGCGGGTGGAAGACTTGAGGTCAGGAGTTTGAGACCAGCCTGGCCAACATGGAGAAACCCCGTCCTTACTAAATATACAAAAAATAGCCAGGCGTGGTCGTGGGCGTCTGTAATCCCAGCTATTCAGGAGGCTGAGGCAGGAGAATTGCTTGAACCCAGGAGGCGGAGGTTGCAGTGAGCTGAGATTGTGTCACTGCACTCTAGCCTGGGCGACAGAGCAAAACCCTATCTCAAAAGAAAAAGAAAAAGAAAAAAAGAATAAATTATAGGTAAAGAAAGAGGACAATGTGGACCCCTAAGGAAACAGGTGCTAATGGCGGAGTCAAAGGCACTGGGGGAGAGTGGAGCAGGGAGAGACTTTGGACCTTGGAGTGCTCCTGGACCATCCCGCCATTCCCTGGGAGGAGCTGTCATCTTGGCTTCCTTCCTGGACCCTGGAAAGGTGACGCCCAGGGTCAGAGACACAGACTGATGGAGGTAGCGGGGGTACTGGCCTTGTGGGGTGCAGAGCACTTGGGCATTTCTTGGGACAAAGCAAATGGCCGGACGGTCTCCTTCCCAGCCCTGGGCTGCTCAGGGATAGTTCTGGGACTTCAGTGGAACAGGAATGCGGTAGAAATGGTACTATCTGCTCAGCTGGGTCAATCACAGCCAGCTGGTGGCCTTCGGTCTGGACAGAAGGAAGGAAGAAGCAAACAGCATCTACAGCAGGTTGGGAGCCGGGATGCCACAGGGCGAGGCCTTGCCACGTGCTTATGACGGTGCGTGGGTTGTGGCGCGTGCAGTGGCCGGGAGGGCAGGCGCAGCACAGACCCGCGTCATCTAGCAGGTGCTCTGCCGCAGGAGTCAGGTCCTTGCCTGACAGCTGGGTCCTCCCAGCCCTGCTCTTTTCACTGTCTTCTGACATCTGGTGCTCCAGCTGCCAAGAGCTTCCTTCTCCAGACACAGGCCTCCCTTCTCCCGAGATTTTCTCCCGTTCTGCCTTCAGGGCTTTTCCCAAACCAGAGGCTGGTGTCAAGACAGATCAAATTTTACCCTCCTGGCTGGAAGGCTCTTCTCTTGCTTTGAGCTCCCATAGCCCTGCCCATCTCTGAAAAGTGTGATGCGGTCATGGGGATGATGTTTTAGCTCTGGTTGAGATCTCTGAGCCTGGGGCCCTGGAAGCTTCATCTCCTCCCTTCTGTCTCCCTGAGTTTCCCGCACAGAGGTATTAGTTTTTGAGTAAGCAGATGAGTCAATTAAAGAGCAGGCAGGAAAATGAGAGAAGGAGTGGGTGAGCGGGTGAGTGGGTGAGCTAGCAGCCTGGTGGCTGAGCACAGCCCTCCCATGCACGAGGACGCTGGATGGAGCGATGGGGAAATGCTTCTTCCTTTCCCTCGGGCTCTCAGCCTCAGGTCTGGAGTGGATAGAAGCTCTTGTGATCCAGGTTTCTGGACCCACTTTGGCCCCTGTGGACTCTGGGAGAAGGCCTTGAGTAGGTAGGGAGGCAGGGCAGTGACAAAGGACTGCCCCTCATCTTCTTGTGAAAGATTGGGACGGGAATGAGGCTTAGGAGCGGTAAAGGTTTTAAACATCTGAGAGCACAACGGAAGTCACCTGAAGGATGCAACCTCCCAATATTTTGGTTTAAGGTTATGTTGGTTTATCTGCTTATTGGTCCTGTCCACCTAGCCTACCCTCCCAACTGCTTATTATCTATCCATCCATCTATCATTTATTCACCCATCTGTCATCTATTCATCCATCCATCAACCATTTATTCATCTATCTATCCATCATCCATCCATGCATCTACCCATCATCTATGCATCTATCATCTGTCCATCCATCCATCCTCCATCATCCATCCACTCAC